TAGCTGCTGATGCGAGGACTTTGATCGAACGTCAGACGTAAGAGGATCTGAAAAACAAAGGCTGTGATTGTTTGCAATAAAACTACTGAAGGCCTGCTGGGAAAATTATTAATGTAGACTTTCCTACTTAGCAAATGAAATCCCCCTCATGGTTTTCTTTCTTTCTTTAAAAAAAACAAAAAACCCAAAATACAAAACATTAATTCTTTGCTTCATTAGTACAGAACATTTTAATACATGTTCAGGCACAGCACCATAAATTGTGATAGGCATATTGCAGCCTTCAGAGCCAGGGAAAGTAATCTAGCACAAGGGGACACCCATCACTCAAATGTGTAGGGCAATGTGATTTGTCCTTGACCCCACCCTAAAAGGTGTAACGGGGTTGCATTTTCACTACAGCCTCTTGTTACCCATTATGACAAGCTGTTTTTGTTTTAACTGTAAGAAGCCATGTCTTGTAGGAAGATTATGATTCTTGGCCTCATGTTTGAGCTAAACCTGCCGAGTGACTTGAGAGCCTAATACATGCAGTAGCTTAAGGTATACTTTTCTACTGAGATAAATATGGAAAGTAGACCTGCTTCATTGTTTGGTTGGTTACCTTTTGTTAATTTTTGTGCATGCAGTGCCAGCTGATCACATCATCAAAGTTTGCATAGATGCCAGCATATGTTTGTGAATTTAGTGGAAAATATAGAGAACCATAAAAGTCAGGAATCTTGGCAGAAAATTAGTTGGAACGTAGTTGAATTGTAGTGTTTAGTAAAAGAAAAGTTATGGGGAGAAAAAGGAACTAAGGTTGACATCTATGGACAAGCTGCAGTACTTAATGTTTCAAGCTGGTGGTTGGGATCAGGGGTTCTTTTAGCATTGTGGGGATGTAAGGGACCTCAAAGGGTCATCTAGTCCAGCCCACTGCTCAAGGCAGGAGCATCCTTGACTAAACCATCCCAGCCAAGTGTCTGTCCAAGATCGTCTAAAAAATTTCCAGGTCTAGAATTTCCACAGCTTCTCTAGGTAGCCTGTTCCAATGCTTGACCACCCTTGTAGCCAGAAAGTTCCTCCTAACTGCCCCTACTCATTGTGGCACTATGTTGTTTATTTTTCAGTATGTCTCTGGCAGGGGTGGGTAGTTATTTTGGCTGGTAGGCTACTTAATGAGTTTTGGTGAGCTGTTGAGGGCCACACACATACAATCTTTCAGAAGATATCATTTAAACAAATTATAGATAAAAACAAATTGTGCACTAAAAATCAAACATCAACTTAACGTATTTTAATTTTATTTCAAAAAATATTTTTGTTTTGATTTTGTTTTTTTAGTTACAGTAGTTTATATGGAGGGATTGCATAATAGCGTAAAATAAAGTCTTACTCTTGCATATTGTGTGTGTTGGGGGGGGCTGCTCCCGTACCACCCTGCATGAGACCAAGCCCTGCCTCCTGTCTGGGGCAGCCTCCAGCTCCCAGTCACCCACAGGTGGCTGCTCATTGTGCCAGGTGGCTGAATGGGTGGGAGGCAGCTGGAAGCTAGAGCTGGAGCCCTGTGCCCTGGGGCAGGAGTCACCCAGCTTGTGGTGCCCAGCACATGTCCCCAAGGCCACCACCACTTTGCACATTACCTGTTGCTTGGAACAACGCAGCAGGGGCAGGAGGAAGAGGAGCCATTGCAGGCAAGGAGAGTAGAGCTGTCCCCGGGTGGAAGCAACAACACTGGGAAGCTGGCCAGGGCTGGGGAGGTGCTGTAGGTGGCCTCATGAAGTGTGCCCCGGGGAAGGCCACATGAGCAATTGTGGATGCAGTCATTTGGTTGGTTGGATCTTGCTTACCCCTGGTGTATGGTGGAAGTATGTCTCACAGCACTGGGGGGTTTATTGCTGTCGCTTAGAAAAACAAAACCAAAATAGTTGACAAAAATCTCTTTCTTCTTTGTGAAGAATAAAGTCTATACATTTTGTGGAAAGAAAATATTCTGGCAACATGAAAAACAATTCATGTTGTTTGCCCTTCCAGTAGAAAGTCCTGTGTATAAACAAGCTATCAAAAGGATATATCCCAGAATTCCCCTCTTGCTCTTTTAGGTTAGTCAGTTTGCAACTCCAAATTGCACAGCCATAGACTTTGTTGGCTGATTGCCTTTTTTGCTCTTTCTGAAGTTTTCCATAAACACTATTGCTGGCTTTTGGACAAGCTTGAGCACAGTTGCCCTTTTACTGTTGCTTCTCCTCAGGAAGTCCAGTCAATTAGTCCAGGGCAAAACCATAGATTGCATTTTATTCTTTTTATCCAAGTAAAGCTATGGCCAAATGCTGATTGCTAAACTGAGTAACTTCAGTCCACTAAGATGGAACTTCTGCAGTGTGGGAACTGTATATAAATTCCGTTTACTTAATACAGTATAACCTCATACATCTGGCATCCTTGGGACCTAGCACCTGCCGGAAATATGAAAATTCCAGATTTTTGAAAGTGCACAGCCCACCTGGCTGTGGGAGGGAGCTTGCACATGGCAGCTGCCACCACCATCCACCACCCCGTGCCGCCACTTCACGACCGGCCACCAGAGGTACACTGGTCAAAAAAGGTTGAAAACCCCTGATGTAGTGTATTTTTTTAAGTGTTGGTTTTTTGAGAATTCCAGAATTTTGAAAACTGGCTTTATGAGGTTATATTGTATATTGGAATAATCTGAACTCAATAGGAACTCCCCAGCATTTTTATTCTGGACCCTTATTAGGCCACGGTTTGAGAATGTCAGTATTGCCACTATTAAGATTTTGATTTGGTCCGTTATTGGATTTTCACAAAGAGCCAGGTGTTCTCGTTTTGATACAGATTGGCAGAAGATCACTTTATCCCAAATGTTAGCCCTTATGAGCATCCTTAAATTATGAAGCCTGTCATTCCCTGTTGAGAGAGATGAGTGAGCATTTCTCTACTGTGTATAATACTTCCAAATAGGATGTTTGCACACTCTCAAATAGCCACAGTGCAGGAAATTCACAAGTGTGGAACGCATGTCTTCTCATTTTCATTTCCCAGTGTTTGCAGCCATTTTTGAGAACAGTAGTGAGCAGTTTCTCCCTCCATGCTGTGCATAGTTATTTTCAGTGTACCAGTATTTGGCAATCTAAAATTAAAGGGAGATCTTTTCCAACTCAAGATTACCTGCTGGAATATTTCCCTGTTTGTTTCCAAATTCTCCATAACGGCTTAAAAAAAAACCCCTAAAAAAACCCAGAGCATCTGAAAGATGACGTTGTTGCTGCATGGAGGTCTTACTGAGGATGAGGAAGTTTGCCCCAGTTATTCCCAGCCAGGGGTAGAAGTTCAGAAACTCATCAGCATGTTTGAGTTGGTGTCCTTCATGATGAGTTTGTTCCTCAATATTCGGCAAGTACAGCATGTTTCTTTGGCTGAAGACCCATCAGAAGGAACTCCCAAGTATTTTCATCTTAAATCTTGTTTTTGCTCATTTTTAAAAATATGTCCACATTGTATTTAAAAAAAAGAAAAAAGAAAAAGTAACTTAAATGGCTAACCCAAGTCAGAGTGAAAATAGAAGTCAAAACAAGAAAAGTGTTATGTTGTTTTCCTATGCATTTTAAATGAATACATTCTTAGTACAGATTAAGGCCAGTTGAGAATCTGATCTCTTAAAAATTTGGTAGAACTTTGCTAGTTTCTTCTTTAAGCTTGACCTCAGCTACCTTTCTTTCCACAGCCAGTTTAACAGGATAATGTAGATGCAGCATTTTCTTGTTTTGTTTGTCAGTTCTGGCTAAATTCCTACTAAGACTGGTATATCTGAATGGTATGTGCTTAACAGCATTATTTGTAAAATATTTGATATTTTGCAGTTTAAGTGCCTCAAACATTAGTGCATACATAATACACAACTAGAAGTTGTGTATTTTTATAAGTATGATAGAATGTTCAGTTATTTCTTTTTTTTATTTTACTGTAGTCTTTTTTTTTTTCCTGTATGTGATATTTTTCATAGAATTCTTCTCTCCCTCCAATCTGTTTGCTTTTTCCTTTTGTGTGTCCTTTTATTCTTTCCCTCATATTTTCTCTATTCTTTCCTTGTTCTCTTTTGTCATCTTTACTTCATCCCTGTCCCTGCCTTCCCTGCCCCTGTAAACAAAAATCTCCCTTTCTTATAGTCTTCTCCTACATGGGGTCTTCATAAAGTCCTTGTGCACTTTTAAACTTTAAGAACTTTTTTTCTATCATACTTACAACCTATCTGTAAACAGCATTTAAAAGCAAATTTCCTAAAGTTTTAGGACAACTACAGTACATGATGCTAGACTTCGTAAGTAGTAATGATTTTTTTCTTAAATAACATGAAGTTCTGTGCCACTATGCTCTGAATGTACGACAGTTCCTGAAGGGCATTTTCCCAGAGAAGTGGATAGGCAGAGGTGGACCAATTGCTTGGCCACCTCGTTCACCTGACCTGTTGCTGTTGGACTTCTTTTTATGGGGACATGTTAAAAGTGTAGTTTACTTGTCAAAACCACATTCTTTGGTGGAACTTAGGGCTAGGATCACCAGTGCAATTAGTACAGTAACTCAAGAGCAGCTGGGAAACATTTTCAAGGAGTTGGAAGATGGGATCGAGCACTATATCATGATGGATGGTGGTTATGTTGAAGTCTAACATTGTGTCCTAAAACTTTAGGAAATTTACTTTTAAATGCCATTTATAGATTGTTTCTATCATACCTACAACCTAAGTTATTAAAGTTTAAAAGTGCACAAGGACTTCATAAAGACCCTGTATAATAGGTTTGGACACAACTGCATAGCTGAGCATATCCTACCTTCCAAGATCACAGGCAACCACATATGTAAAGCCTTATGTAAACTTCATTGTTCATTTAGAATCCACCTCATTGCTTATCTTTGGTGACTGCATGTGTAATGGTTGCATTGTATTTCCAGGTTCTCAGAGACTGGGCTGTGTTCATTTTCATACATTTTCTTTTCAGTGAGACCAAATTTTGAGGAAGGTGGGACAACAGCAACAGGGAGGAAACATGAGTTTATACGCTCTGAGAGCGAAAACTGGCGCATCTTCAGGGAAGAACAAAATGGGGAAGATGATGATGGAGGCTGGCGATTGGCAGGGTCACGAAGGGATGGTGAGAGGTGGCGCCCTCACAGTCCAGGTGAGAGGAAATCTGGGGAGGAAAGTCTGCTACAGTGCTTGGGGGCGGAGAGTGGTATGTGTGTGAGGACCAGAGAACAAGAGGAGCTAGAATGTGTGGCTGTTTGTTCAAAGCCAATGACATTAATTTTTTTTAAAAAAACAGAAAAACACCAGTGCCTTCACTGCACTAATCATTTGGATTAAGGGAACCTTGCATTTTCTTCAAGTATGCATTAGTCTAAATTCCACTGTGCCTGAGATCAGATTTGTTTGTATAGTATTGTCCACTGGGGCCTTGGTTGTACCTTGGGCCACCTTGGCTGACATGTAAGGGCAAAAAGAGTGGAACCACAAACCTCCTTCCATTTCTCCTTCCCAGCCACAGCAGTGAGACAGGACCTTGCAAGATTCCAGGTCCATAAGGCTGCAGTTAGTTTTAATCTCATTCAAAATGTGATTTGTAAGGAATCCTCCTTCACTTCCTTACCTATTTCATATGACTTGTTCTTGTCAGGGAAAGAGGGAAAGGAAACACGTTGTGGCAAATCATTTTCCATCAACTAACATAATGGGCCTGAAACACTAGGGTTAGCAATAGCAAGAGCCTTGTGGCTGAATACCACCCTCAGAGCAGGCTGCATCACCCCAATACACGGGTGAAGCAGAAAAAATAGGAAAAGCACAGGCCAGATTTAGAAATGATGAAGGAAAAGAAATGCTTCTATATTAAGGGCAAGCCCACATTGTTCACTCAAGAAGCAGCTTTGATATATATGCACTGTATATGACAGTATCAGCAAAGGCATTTGCATTAATTTGTAGAACTACTAAAAGCTTGGGTCCATGGGGTGTAGCATGAAACTGCCATGGAACTGGAGTGGACAGATGCCACAGCATCACCTTGTTGCATCACTACTCTGTGCATTTTATGTGGTGCTGAGCAGAACCCTCCCTACTACCATTTCTTGAGCCTGGAACAGTATTTAATCAAATGCCCCCTTGGTCATGTTGGCTGTACCTGGGGACAGTTAGACCTCATGTCCTGCATCTGGTCCCCTTCTCACAGATCTGAGAAGCATAGGTCAGGTTCCATGTTTGCATCACTGTCTAGACCAGGGGTGCTCAGCCCCCAGCCTGTGGCCAGATCTGGCCCCTGGCATAGTGTCATTTGGCCTGTGGGGCTCTATACCGACCATTTCTTATTTGAGGTGATAGGGCCTTTCAGTTTGAAGGCATGGTGTTTCACTGCTACTGTATTCAAGGGTTTGAAATTGCTGAGGAGATATATATATATATATAATGGGGAAGGGGGGGGGTGTACACACACAAGCATCATCCCCATTACAGAAAAGTCCTAGAGGTAACAGCTGTAAGAGAGGCAACAGGTACACCTTTACTTGAGAAGAAGCCACATTAGAACTTACCTGGAGCAGCTTCTTAGTTTGGGAACTCTCTTGTCTTCCTTCAACCAGGCTTGGCTTGATACCTTTTTTGGGCAAATAAATATTGAATATAATTGCCTGTGGCTCTGCATTCACTCCTATGTCCCCTGCTTCTCCATCCCAGCTGAACAGGCAAAGTATTTTCATTGATGCCTTTTTTGGATGACTGGCTGATAAGTTAGATGCAGCAAGAGGCATCGATGATCTGAGACTGGGTTCTGCCCTTATTCAGCCAGCTAAGCCTTCTAGCAAACAACTAGAAATTGTTAATCCATTTGGAGATACTAGTTTATAGGAGTATTAATTAATTTCACATTAGAATTTACTTACTTAAGAACAGATCTAAAGATGAGGTCTTTACTTAGTTAAGTTTATATGCAGCTATAGGTGACCGTATGTAATGCTGTTTGCCTCATTTGGCTTTTATTGCCTCTAGTTTTATCTCAGGATTTTCTCAGTGAAATAAACGCAATAAAGCTTGTAGTACTGCATCATGATCTTGTAGAATGGCTGTGGTGGCTAGAACCCAAAAGAAAAAGACCAGTAGAGCAGATGACACAATAGTCATGCACTACATAAACAAGAAAGGGAATGTCTGCCCCTTGTCCCAGTGCCAAGAAACCAGTGATAATCTTGGTGCCATCAAAATGGAGTAATACCAATGGCCCTTCACTTCCCAGAAGGGAACAGCAATTTAACACATTTTTAAGCAGACTGTTTATGACCAATTGGGAATAGCCATTACCTGAATTAATCACAGAAGTGATGTTCCATCAATTGGCACACCCTTATAATATCCTTATTTACCACTGTAGACACTGCAGACTTTCCCTTGAGCAACAGCATATTGGGGTGGGCAGTCATTTTGACTGGAGGGCCACTTAATGAGTGACCTGTCGAAGGCTGACTCTGTCTCTGTCTCCTCCCTCCAGAACCCAGCCAGAGCGGTAGTTCACCAACAGCCCCAGAGCTCAGCTGTGGATGCAAATGGGGACTTCCACCGTGGTGGGTAGGCAGTGATGTCAGCTGTGGGCACAGCCAAGAGGTTCTGGAGCCCCAACACAGAACCTGCTGGCAGTGTCACAGCTAACACTGCCACCCACTCTACACAGCAGAAGTTCCTGCCTGGGTCCACAGGTGATGCCACTGGCAGGTTCCAGGTCAGGGCTCTGGGCAGGAGCTTCCATCACACTAGGAGGGTGGAGGCATCAGCAGGTTCTGCATCAGGGCTCCTGAACCTGTCAGTGGTGTCCACAGCTGATGCTGCTGCCTGCTCGCTGTGATGGAAGCCTCTGCCTGGGTCCACAGCTGCTGCTGCTGCATGAAGAGCTGCTGCTGCTTGGCGGAATCAGTCCTGCCCACGCACCAGATCCAGTGAGTTGGCGGTGGCCTGCCCACAGGCTGGATTGAATCTGTTGGCAGGTTGGATCTCATCCATCTCTGGTCTAATGTCACTATCAGATGCTTTTCTCCTGCAAAAGCTAGGTAGAATGGAGTAGAGTAATTTCCTTGAATCCTAAGGTAATTTGAAAATGATAATGAAAATGATAAAAACAATAAAGCCAAAATCATTTGGGTAAGTCTTTGTTGGCTGAAACAGGTCTGACACTGAGTCCAATTTCAGATGCTAACTCAACTCCCAAACTACCTGAATCTGATCTCTTTTTGGCATGCCTACGTAGACCTGAAATCACTGCAAGGCAGCAGTGTGGCATTAATTCACTAATTTGGTCAAACACTGGATGTTGAACTCAGTTGTTAAGTCAGATGCTGGGCTGGAGGAAACCAGTGCTACAATTGCTCATGTGCTAATGAAACTGGAATGCTTCATTCCTACCACCCTCAGAGGATGCTGCTTGCCAGCCACCACCACCAGGATTCATGCTGATGTGCTCCAGTTCCATACTCTACAATAACTGGTTCCTTGAGATGTCAGCAGTATAGCTCCCAAAACCCACCACTTACTGCTGCTGTGAAGTGTCCCATGCACCACCCTTGCTGGATAGTGTTCCCTGCCCTACTCCCTCCCTCGCTATGGGGGGCCTCAATTTGTTTCTCCCCCCACACCTCTTCCCCCCGCCACGTTCCTTCCCCTCCATAGACTTGCCTGTAGGAGCTGCTCTCCACACTGCCCAGCTGTATTCTTGACCACGTGCATGCCTGTGGCTGCGCACATGCATGCAGCTCCCCCTGCATCTCATTCCTGGCAGCCCCAAGCAGAACCCCTTGTAGGTAGAATGCTGCCTGCCTTCAAGGGGAAACCTGCTGTTTCCCGAGGGAACCCGTGCATCTGAGGGCCCTGGCCCCATGGGGAGAGGGAACCCAGGTGTCCAGAACCCTGGCCAGAAGGCATGATTATCGGTAAACATTGGCTACAATGGCCACAAAAAAAGCTGATCATGTCATGTCCTCTTTTATCGGTGCCAATCCAATAGACAACCAATATATTGGTGCACCTCTAGTGACTGTTCTTCTCTTTTGTTATCCTTTTCTCTCCCCTCTGTCAAACTACTGTAAGATGGTGGTGAGGGTTAGCAATGCCTGAGCCTGAGGCTAGATTCTAATGTATTAACAGATGTTTTCTGTTTCCTGGGTGCAAGATAGGGTAGAGTTCCTAATTATGGAGAAGATCCTTATCTTTTCTTCATGTCAGACATGACTGATTAGACACACTGTGCTCTTTTGTTATACAGTTTGAATAGTGTTATAGCTACTGAAACAGTGCCTCGTGATGATCAGATGTGAGATGTTACCTAGGACAAAAGTTCATCAGGAATGCAAGTCTATCTAGTATATTCTGGTTCAGTTTACACAAGAGTGTATAGAGATCTCACACAAGTTTTTAAAATAGACGTTTGTGTGCATAAGATAAATGTTAGCAGATAAACTCTTTATAGTTTAGTAGATAACCCAAATATATAGTTCACTGGAATTTCCAACAAGCAATGAGCAATCTGCCATTACAGGTACAAAACCTATGTCTTAATAGCATGAAAGCCTGTTCTTGGATTTCTCTGGAAAGCTCAACTAGATTTGTGTTGAAAGTGCCAAATTCATGAGATGGAAGCAGAATGAATTATCAAGTAAATTATGCTTCCCTTTTAGTTCATTTAATTGTTTTTTCTTGACTCATAGGTAGAGTATTGGGGGAGGGTTGTTGGGCAGTAGTGGTGGTTTTTTTTCTTTTTCTTTTTTTTAACTCTTTTGCATTAAGATGTCAGTGTAATTTTAAGCTGGTATGGTTTATAGTGGTTTTGTCTACCCATCATTGTCAGTAGGGGAGGTTACCGACCATATGTACTGCTTAAATAGATAAAACTCTGCCAAAAACTGAACTACGTCTATTTGTTTGGATCTTCTTTAAGAATTGGCTTTGTAAATCCCGCACAACTAAAATGCATGTTACTGACTGATCTGTAATTTGAGAACAGTTTTGAAAACTGTAGTTTATGGTCATATCCATTTGAATGTTATGCATGCAACATTTTTGCTGTGCAAAATAACATTCAACAGTCCTAGTTTATTTTTGCTGTCTTAGTAAGCAATGGGTATTTGCAGTCCAGCAGACTCTTCCTGTTTTCTAATCTTTTGAACTCTCTTGTTTTTTAAACATCTTTTTCTTTTGCTAGTAGTTACTGTAGTGGTCCTATGACCTGTTTGTCTTATAGCCTGTTCATTCTATACACCTCTTTCCTAGATATTTGAACAAGAATGAAAGACACTGGTATTAAACCAGTGAATAATGAGTAGACGTAGCTTTTCATCTTCTCCCTGATATCTGTTTCTTACCATCTGAAGTTGCCCCTTTGATGATCTTTTGTCATCAAAGACTTCCATGTCATCCTTGTCTGAAATGGATAATGTGTAGTTCTCTCTTGGAGTTAGCCAAGGTGAAGCAGGGATGACTCTGTCGTGCTGGTTATAAATGAGAGGCTAAAATAGGTGTCTTGCAGATGCCTCTTGAAGGTTAAGATCTCAATTCTGAGCCCCCCTCAATTTGATCTGTACCTGATATAACACATCAGAAACTTCATGCTCGGAGTTTATTTCAGTTTGCATTTGTTCATTCACCGAGTTGGTAACAGACCACCTTACAAGCTGCTCATGTTTCAGGCTGCCCTTCCCTGGGAATGGAAATTTAAATCCATTACACTGCTGCTGGAGTTCTGACACCAACAGCACTCTCCTTCATAGACCAACCTTATGCAACACTATTTTTCTTCTGTGTTTTGATTTATTATGACATGAACTTACCTGCTGTGCAACAATGACAGCAATGTAAGAAAATTTTGGGGAGAAGTGCTGGGTTTTCTGCCTCTTCTGTCAGTATGTTTCTATGTGCTGAAGCAGATTTGTCTGCTGAGAACAGATTCTTCCATGCTTGGCTTATTCAGTGCAGAAATATTACTTGACCCATATAATTTTGAAAAACCTACCCTTATCATGGCCTCATGCTTCGGATTGCCTATGCTATCTATAAAAAAACAGTCTGTTTGTAGTGCTGAATTCAGTGATTGATTCTAAGTTCAAATTTAATTTTTTTCCTACCCTCCAGATTACATTTAACATTTATGTATGCCCATTATAGGATAAAACTCCACCTTCTTCAGTGGCTCTATTTATTTTATTCATAAGATTGATGAATAGTCTTTAAATCAGTTTTCATTTTGTCAGTCACATATATCATAGTAGTTATGTTACGAGACATGGAGATGAGTTGCAAGTACTTGTGGCTGACCCTTCATTAACTGTATTGCTTAAGGACAACATGGTAATTTGTTCTTACCTATGTTTTCTCCCTAAAATAGCTTTGTGTTTTCCCTTGATTTGCCGCATTAATTTACTAGAATTTTTTTCTGCAAGTCTGCCTGGAGAGACTACACTGAATGGTTTGCACATGAAAATGGCTCTTGGCTGCTTTTTAAGCAGAAGCCTTTTTCACAGTTATCCTACATTTACTAACTACTTTTGGGATGCAGTTTAGCCTTTCTGCTATAAATCAGTTAGACTTTTTGTATGAATACTTTGCTGTGGCATTTCTAGTGTTGGAGTATGTACAGGGTTTCATATTGATTCCATATTTCTGTCGAATATGGTCTGTTTTTCTTGTTTGAAAATTATACTAATTGTGGAAAACTGATAGAGTGTCTGAGGGTTCTACATACATCCTTAGTGCTGTTCTCTTCATCTCAAAGATGGACTCAAAATTTAGGGAGACCCATGTTCAACTCGGATATGAATTTCATATGCATTACATGCCCATTAGTAGGGAATATGCAAAGGCAGGTCTTGGAAGGGAAAGGAGTTGTTTATATTCTTTGTTGAGCCATGTATTCCCCCACCTTATGCCTAGTGTATTTGTATACCACGTCCCTCTATAGTGAGCCTTTGTCGGTTGATGATAAAAAATACAGGTTATCTTCCATTAAACTAGAGCCTGTAATTGAACCCAGGCTTATCAGTAGCTTGGTTGTTATGGTATTCACCCAAGACGTACAAGAGCCAGGTTCAAGTTTCTCCTCTGTCCATCCTGCATCATCCAGGCTGTCTGTGCAGTGCAGGTTTCTCACTCCGGTTTACACCAGAAATTCTGTACCTAGCACTGAGATGCTTATTACAGTGACTTTTCTTTGAAACTGGCGTGTGTGTATTCCAAAGTTTAGGTTTGGAGGAACTGACTTCAAACTAAAAACCAGTTTAGTTTTGTTTAAAAAAACCAAAAAACCCTCATCAAGATTTGTAGGGCTAACTCCTCTCCAAGATGTATATTTGAAAAAGAGAAAAATGCTGGTTACTGGAGTTGTTTGAAACATATTGACATCATTATTCCACACTTGCTAAATTTGTTTCTTCCTCAAGGATTTGTTCAGATTTTATTCTAGATTGAAGGATTAAACAGGAATGGGTCTGAGAGCTTTAAGAACTATTTTAAAACTGAGTTCCAAAATAACATAGACGGCACAGACTTGTTTCATTCTTTACATGTGAGCCTACTCTGAAGTATGCGTCAGTATGTTGACATTTGTGCGTGCTGTCTAATTTGATTTTTATTATGATACAAATACAAGTATATTAAGATATAACTTTGTTTTAAATAGTATGAAAAATAGTGTGTGTAAAATACCTGAATCTGTATTGGGAATTATCTTTTTCCCTTTTTTTTTTTTTGTCAAAATGTAAATTTAGCAGCTCCGTATTTAATATGTTCAAGCAGGCAACATTTTTTTTTTCATTAAATTGCTTGGATTTATAAACCAGTTTTTTTCCTCAGCAGTAATAGCACATAGTTTGGACAATTTTGAAACACTAAGGTGAAGTGAAAGGAGTGATCTCACAAGGTCTCCCTTCCACCCCTAAACTTCTGTGAATTTGTGAATAGAGGGATAAGTTTTTTCCTTTGATTACTGTTTCTGCTAGTCCTTGTAAAGAGGACAGCTATACATTAATTTTCATCATGATGCCTGCATATTTATAATGGATAAAGATGTTTTTAATTAAAGGTACAAATTTCTGGGTTCTACAGAATGCAGCTAATATTAGAAATATTAAAACTGTAGGATCCGCTTGCATTTTCTGTCTATAGTTTTTCTATTTTCTTTTATATTATGGTAGATTATTTTCAAATAACTAAAACGGCCATCTAAAACTTCCTTCTTAATAACACTCTTCTCATTATTATTGTATCACGAAGTCCTGGTCAAGTTATATAGGGTACCAAGGGTGTTATGAGAGGGAGGTAGGTAGCTTCATTAATGTTGGCTAAAACCTTAACAGATTTTATGAGCATGCTCAGAAACAAATTTTCAATCCTTGTTTAATTTTTTTTCATTTTCCTTTCTCCCACATCATTTCACTAGCCCATGACTCAAAAACTGACATTTAAGGAATTCAAGCCTGCCTACTTCCACCAGAATAATCAACTTTGCAGGGTGGGAAGAGAAAAGCACAGAAAGTTTCATTCCAAGAAGCAAATGTTGCAAAAAGCTAATTAAAAGTACATGATTTTTTTGTCATTTTAAAATTTACCAGTCACTGATGACCCATTTAAAAAGTTTTAATGCTGAATCAAATTAGCCCTTAGTTTTGTAGCTCTCATTTGGTTCTTGGTTGGGTTTCAGTACCTGTCGCCCTTTTCTGGGGTCAATATTTTTAATAATAGTAGCAGGTCTTCAGTTCTATGGAGGACAATATTCAAAGAACTCCAGTTCCTGGTAAATTATCAGTTTTTTTTTCTTTTATGATGCCTATTTTCAGGCGTACTGTACCCTGTAGTGGCTTTCTGAATTTCTGTCACTGTTTGTCCTCTTTTTCCCTACCCCTTCACCCTTCCAAGTAAGTTATCACTCCTTGGGACTGTCTTGTAAAGTTACTTTCCCCCCACCTTAGACGGCCCTCGTTCTGCAGGCTGGCGAGAACATATGGAGCGACGGCGAAGGTTTGAATTTGATTTCCGAGAACGGGATGAGGAGCGGGGTTATCGGCGAGTGCGGTGTGGCAGTGGCAGCATGGAGGATGACAGCCTCCCAGAATGGTGCTTAGAAGATGCAGAAGAAGAAATGGGAACATTTGATTCATCTGGGGCCTTCCTCTCATTAAAGGTCAGAAACCTATTTTGGACCCTCCATACAGTGTGAATAGCTTCCCTGTTATGGTCAGCAGTATGTAATTATTTGTATTGATTTTGATGGTAGAAGGTTCAGAAGGAACCAATTCCTGAAGAACAGGAAATGGATTTCCGACCTGTGGAGGAAGGGGAAGAACATTCAGACTCTGAAGGCAGCCACAACGAAGAAGCCAAAGAACTTGAAAAGGCAGTCAAGAAGGAGGATAAAACAGATAGGGTAACAGCAGGTAACTAGGCTTTTCAAGTATCCATTGTACATTGCAGTCCAATACATTTCAACGTCAGAAATAAATTTAAAATCATTCAATATTTACAGAAGCAGTGGAAGATACTGTCAAAGAATCTGTACCATCCACAAGGTCAGGTACTCCACCAAAACCCCAGCCTCAAGAATCTCTGCAGACCAGCCTGTTTGAAAGGAAGGAAGAATGTGCCCCAGAGAGGACTGAAAGAGCAGAAGATAAAGAAAATAGAACAGAAAACACACCACCAGCCAAAGTGCCCAGTAAAGAAGGTAATAAACTGTGATAGGCTTATGACTTTTGGAGGGATCCCTGTGAGGAGGAGTGGTTAAATAGAGTCTTCACAATGATGCTAATATGTGAAACAGAAAACTTAAGGGCTCATCAGCTGCTCTCTTGAGTGCTTCCAGTTTTGCTGAGGGTATCTTTGTATAGCAGACTAGCATAGGGGTAAGCAAACCCCGGCATGGGTGCCAGTATGTGGCGCACAAAGGCATTTTGCTTGGCACCCCTGTCTTGGGCAGAGGGTACGGAAGGGGCTGGGGGTAAACTGCCACAACAAGGATCAGGCCCCTTGCAGCTCCCCCATTGTCCACCCCTAGCATGCCAACTTCTTACAAGTCGAGGTTGTGGGAGTTTTGGCACTCTACCCAAAAATTTTGCTGATCTATGCTGTAGCATGATATAGAATACCAGCTATCTCTGGTATCAGAAGCAGAAGATCCATTATCCAAACTATTCTTAAATATGCTGCTGACTGCAGCAGAAACATATGAACAGATTGGCTGGGAGACACAAATTTGTTTGTTTAAACTATTTGAATGTCAGGTTTTTAGAGGCTGTTCCTAAATGTCAGACTAATTCGTGATCTTTTTTTTTTCTAACTTTTTACAGATATGGCTCCTGCTGTCCAGCCTATGCCTCAGATTCCTCCAGCTGCACCTTCTCCAATTCACCATTCTCCTCCTATTTCTAATCCAAGTCCTGCTATAAGGCCTGTTCAGACATCTGTCACAGCTGCTCCTGGCATGAGCAACATTCCTGCTGATCCAGATGATGAAGAAGGCCTCAAGCACTTAGAGCAGGTAGATCTTCTCTTTTTTAAATTTCGCCTTCGCTTGTAGTTTGTCAGAAAATGAAAGAACACTGAATGAAAGACTCTCCTCAAATTCTTTGAGTAGCATCATAAAAAGTATTATGTGTGATGACTTCAAAAAGTTCTTTATAGGTCATAATTTTTCACATTTTATTCCACAAACTGCATTCTGTAGCATTTGAACAAGAGCGACCATAATTTGCTGAGTACTGGGAGATGGAACATTTTCCATGCCGGCACATAAATTTCTGAATTCTATTCTTAGCTCTGTCATTTGTTGTATTAGACCGCTTGGGCAAGTCAATTTGATATTCTCCCTTAGCTTACCTATATGAAAAAAGGGCTTAATTCTAATCATACAGGGTTATTGACTAGAGTGCTAAAGCATTTGGAGAATCTTGCATGAAGGTTACTATGGGAGTGTAAAATACTTAGTAAAAAGCATCTTTCTCTGCTTTATCCATCTTGAATCCCACCAAATGTTCACTCCTATGCTGAAATTTTAGAACCAATGAATAAATTCTAATATGGTCTTGAACACTGGCATGGTGTTGTACAAGTTAGTGACTGACCCTATGATCTTTGCTTGGTTTGAGTATTTGTAGTCAGTGTCTCTTGACATGTTTCTTGATCTGTCAACTGTAGCAAGCAGAGAAAATGGTGGCATATCTGCAGGACAGTCCACTGGATGATGAGAGACTGGCAGCAAAACTTCAAGAGCACAGAGCAAAGGGTTCCTCAATACCATTGCTCCATGAAGCCATGCAGAAGTGGTACTACAAGGATCCACAAGGAGAAATTCAGGGTAGGTCTGTGCCCTTTACGCTTCCTCTCTTGTTTCACAGAACTGTTAAGAAGTTCATCACAGATCTATTTAACCTAACATCTGTACCAAAAGATACTACCTACCCCACAGCTTCAAAAGAGGCAGTGATACAGGCAGACGTGAGTCAAGTTGAGAAAAAGGTATCCTTTTTACTTAGCATGCCTTTCGTGCCCTGCATACAACCTTATAGCTAAAGTGTTTTCTGTAAATTGAGGTTAGAAGAAATCTTGAGCTGGCTTTCTTCTACTCCTACGTGTTTGTAATTCAATTTATAGTTGAAATTTCCTGATAACCTGGAAAAAAAAAAAAAAAGTATAACGCTCTGGGTTTTTCATGACTGCCCAGTCAGAACACATCAATCAGGTGATGGTATGGAGGCTATCTGTTTCTATCTGGAATGCCCGTGTTCCTAGAGAATGCTTTTCTTCTTTTAGCTTGAAACCTAAAAACTTAAGTTGCTATACCAACATGCAGAAAAAGAGTGTGAACACTGAGAATGATTCCAGTGTAGGAAAATGGCTTCAACTTAAAACCTGGATGAAGCACTGTTAAAGTTGGAGCAGCTTTGCTACATTTGAATTGTTCTTGGCTGGTACACACACAATTAGAAAGTGCCAGCTGTTACTGTTTGAAATGTTCCTCTTTTGAAAGGGTTCAAGATGTACATGTATCTGCACGGCATGGGTTTCTCTGACATAGGCATCAGGGTGTGAAGCAGTGCTGTAGTCCCAACAAGCATATGTCTGTACACTATCTGTCAACTATTTCTTTAGCACTGTTGTACAACACAATGTATTAGAGGTTCAGATAGTACCAGGTATTCTACCCTGTTTCCTCTTTCCGTTTGAATGATGCCTGAGGCTTTTGTAGCAAAATTTGGTAGAGGTCTTTTCCATAAACCCTGGCATGTCCAGTTACCTTCAGACAAGGTTTTCAGTAGTAGTTTGAAAACTGGTCAGACTTGATTGCAGGTCTTAGCTCTGGGAAATTCTGTTTACAATTCTGCTTTGAATTTGCTTAGGTTTTAATTGGATAAGTAATATTCTTAATAATTCAGTAGAAACAGCATACCAGCCCCCGTCTCCTTTACTATTCATTCCATCCACAAAGAGCGCACACCAGCTGCAGATGCTTCTTCAACCTGATGAATGGTATTTATAACCAAAAGCTTGCAAAGAATAATTTTTCCAACTATTTGAGTTGGTCTAATAAAAGATATCAGATTTACCCAGAGAACCTTGTCTGCCTGTGCCCTTAGACCAACACAGCTACAACCTGTACCCCTGTAGAAACAACCTTGGAAGCTATGAGGAATAGGTAGATTTTTTTAAGAGGGGGTACATCTAGCCAAAGTTGTAGGTATTACCTGCCTTCAAGTTTCTAGGGGCAACAAGAAAACACTTACGTTTTGGACTTCAGTCATGGGTGTCAAACATTCAGCCCACAAGCCCAATCTGGCCCATGGTCTTCTGGACTGGCCCTGGCCCCAGCCCCATGCACTGCATACATCATGCAGAATGGTTTTGGCACCCTGCTCGCTGCAGGCAGTATAGGGGGTTGGTCTGAGGTGCCACGTGCAGACCTCACCCTGGATCCCCTGTGCCCCATGCAGCATCAGGTCCTGCCTGTGCATTACAGGCAGCACGCATCCCATGCCAGCCAAAAACGCCAGCCAGTCCAGCATAGGATGCATGGGGTGGCCATGCATGCTGCATGTGTCATAGGGCCAGCACGGGATGTACTCCACACTGCCTCCCCATAACCAGAGCCCATGCACAGGGCTGGTCAGCAGGGCACTGTACGGAGTGCTTGTCCTGTGCCAGCCCCTTGCTGCATGCATGGCTAGGCCTCTGGGCCCAGCGAGGGGCATGCACCACCTGTAGCATGTGGGTTGGGCCCAGTACTACATGCAGCGCAGGGTGTCCAAAGTGCAGACTGTATGGGGGGGGGACCAACCCCCTACACTGCCTGCAGCTCCAGGTCCATTCTACATACTGTAAGCAGTGCATGCCCCATGCTGGCCCCGGGGGCTGGTATGTGTGGCACCTGGGCAGGACTAGCACCAGAGGTGCTCTGCAGGGTGTCTGGTCCCAGTCGAAGCTGCAAACTGGCTCAGCCATGTTCATCCAGCACAGGACCTGATGAATTTGACACCCTTTATTTAGATGGTGTGAGGAAGCAATTTTGCAGGTCAGCTTGTTTAATTTTTATCTTACTTTTGTCCCCTTACCATATACTAGTATGGTAGAGCTTAGAGGCATCATTCTGTCCAGGTTTGTTTGATACACTATGTATATACAATGAAAAATCTGTCCCTAACTCATTTAATCTAATCAAAAATGAATAAATGTGACCTCTAAAGATGCCTGAAGTACAGGGTTTTCTTTTGTGGACCTTAGCCTCCAGTGAGCAGAAACCCTTTAATTCTTAAGAGTTTTAAATCATGGAAGACCATAATAGAGCAGAGTGCAGGCCAGGTTTCCTGCTGGCTCATGCATATACTTCCAAATATAAACGTCTTTTTTGATTGTTCCAGTCAGTTACTCCTTGACTGTATTTAGTGAAAGTGCTCTTGAAGGATCTTCTGCCACGTCAGCTTTTAGGGTCCAGTTATAATTGCTGATTGGATGTAGACTCTAAAAGAAAATTCTGTCCACAGCTCTGCAAGCATTTTTCTTTTGGGATATCCCTAAATTCTTGCTCTCCAAGAGGGAAAAATTTTATAAACATCTGGTCTATGGAGACGACAAATTTATATAGTCCCAATTCTGCTTTTGTGGAGTTGTCATCTTTTCAGGGTTCCTACCCACTCTTCTGTTCTCACTTTGGAGGTTCCTTTTTTCCCTTGTAAATTAATTTTAGAAACTTGTCTCATACATTTTAAGGAAGTGACAGAAATACTCAGTGGGCATTACTTATTGAATAGAGAGAGAAATACAAAAGTACAGAGGGGCAACTGACATTTTGTTGCTACCTTCAAAAATAAAATCTGGAAATGTAGGTGGTCTGCTGATCTTACACTGAGGCGCTTATTCCCACAATCAAGAATATTGCCAAATATCTTCAGAGAAGCAGAATTAGTAGTTTGCATTTTCTGTGTGACTTATTCTGGAACAGTTGTAGCGGCAGCATGTTAATTACGTAGAGAAATGATATACCAATAGATGGCAAAAAATGTATACACATTTATCGTTAGTGTCAGAACTGCTGTGTTCACACTGTTGTGAACAGACCTAGAATTTGGAATGTATATTCTGTTCAGCAAGACCAATGTGCATGTATCTTTTCTTATTCAGAACAAAAGCAGAAATCACTAATGTTAAAACAGGTGCAGTATTCAAACAAGCGTCATGTTCTTGGTTCCCTTTTTGCTGAATTTGCCCTTCTCTGCATGTATTGTTTGTGCTATTTTAGGTCCCTTCAGTAACCAGGAGATGGCAGAGTGGTTCCAGGCCGGATACTTCACGATGTCCCTGTTGGTAAAGCGAGCATGCGATGAGAGCTTCCAGCCACTTGGAGACATCATGAAAATGTGGGGCAGGGTTCCTTTCACTCCAGGTCCAGCACCACCTCCACAGATGGTAAGTGTTCAGCAGTCACACAGATCAAACAAGGGATTTCTTACAAATGTGTTTGTTGCATAATAGAAGGCAGGGTAGATTTGCACCTTTATAGACTAACTGAATCAGAGATGGATAGGATAAGGTTTTGTGAGCCCAAGATCACCTCATCAAACACTTTGCATAATGCTATAAGTCCTCTGTCTTGGAAGTACATATGCTTTTAGCACCCAGCATGAAAACCTTCTGGAAGACAGAGGGTCTCAGGCTCTTGATCAGCCCAAACCTCATGAGGTATCTTCCCCTCTTCTGTATCATCACCCCATTATTGCCTACACCACAGCTGTTGACATTATGCTACTTCCATGTGAAGTGGAGCCCTTCTAGGAATCTGTTTGGTTTTTTGTCCTGGGCAGTAGAGAAAGTGGGGTGAAGGGCAGGAAGCTAGGAACAAAGCATTTCAGAGTAATTATTAACAGTCTTTCTGTGCTCAAGGACAGGTGCATTCTAAACCCAAAGGGAAGGACGAAATGAACAGTGCTGGGTCTTACCCCATACACAAGTTCAGCTGTGCTTTGAAGGTCAGGCTGAACTGTCACTTTTTAGGTTTTTAGCTAAATATAGATGATTAGTGGATAGAAGGGTAGGGTTGTCCTTAAGATTAGTTCTAGCACTTTAGACATAACCTTGGAGAGGTCACCGTTTTCATTTAATTTTAAATAAATTCTTATGTGCTTTGCTGGGTCAGAGGCTTCAAAGCTTGGTTGTGATGTGATATCTATTTATGCTGTTGTATACTAGCTGTATGTTTCTTCTTGTGCACTTTTTTTGCATGCTTCAAAGCAATTTGTCTACATGTATTTGGATTTCTGTACCAGTGGGTGTACCATTTGTCCCTTTTTTCCTTGACCCACGGAGTGTAGTACTGGACTTCAGTTTTTATTTTGTGTATCTGATAGTTTGTTGCAATATATCTAATATGATTTATTCCCAAATGCAGGGCGAGCTGGACCAGGAGCGGCTGACTAGACAGCAAGAACTCTCAGCCTTGTACCAAATGCAGCACCTGCAGTACCAGCACCTTTTGATACAGTAAGACTGGGCTTAGCTTCTGATCGTATTTTCCCTGGGTTGTAGATCGGGCATTGATGCTCCTCCAACAGCAGTGACTTCCATTCTCAACTGCCCATGATCCTAACACCACCTCTGCTTAGAACAGAGAACTGGCCAACTTAGGGCACGCTGTCTTATTCTTTATTATTTATCACATACTGTCAGAGTAGCTATGTAGTTAGCAACTTGCCTGGTCAAAATGAGTCTTGGCCATACTTGCAAAGGGGTTTTGAGGATTTGAAGTTGAGAAAGAGTAGACTGTCTGCACATGGAGAACACCAGAATCTGTTTCTACTCTGTTGACAGTTTCTTGTTAGTGCGAAAGCTGTTGAGAATTCTGGTTAGATACCCATTTTTGCCCATTGGAGGAATTGCAGTCCTCAACAGCTGACCTTTTTTTGGCCCCTTTGACAGAAGCTTAGAGTAAGAAAGCAGTTAGTAATTGGATAGGTGCACTAAAAGCTGCATGTGCCTTGTTTATGATCTTTGAATGAATGTCAATATAAGATTCCTGGTGTGCTAAGAAATCTGCTGTTGTACTGAGGATATGGGATCACTAGATGCCTTACCTGTTTAGACGATCTCAGAATTGGAATCAACTTATGAGTTATCTATACATTTCTGGGAAAAGGAAAACAGAAATGTTACATAGTATAGAATTTAAAAATTGGGAGGAAATAGTTGGTTTGCATGGTTTGGCATGAGGATTTTTTTTCTGCTCAGGTATGTTAATTCACTTTTTTTTATGCTTTGACTTTTTCAAGACGCTTATTTTGTGATTGCCTGCAGGAATTAGTGTGTGCATCCTACATTAGTAGACATTATTCAGGGAGATTTAAGCATGTGTGGGACTTTGGCAACTTGGATGAGGTCAGGGTACAGTTGCAGCTTGTAGACTAATTGAATCAAAGATGCTTACGCTTTCTTGAGCAAAGTAAACCAATTCCAGTGACTCTGCTTCTCTTGTGAAGACAACAATATGCACAGGTGCTAGCACAGCAGCAAAAAGCAGCTCTGTCATCTCAGCAGCAGCAGCAACTGGCTCTTCTTTTGCAACAGTTCCAGGCCCTGAAGATGAGGTGAGTGGACAGACTTGAGCTGGTTATGCTTTATCTTACAGTTTTGTTGTGATCATCTTGTATTTGCATGAATCTGGTTCATATTACTTTCAGTTATATCTAAGAATGTGCAAACAGAGTAACTGTGAAATGTTAAAGTGTTGATGAATGTTGAATATCTTTTTTTTTCTTTGGTTTCTGCTTGGAAGAGTATTACCTTACCTTCTGACTTGGCAGTTCTGAGAGGAAAAATAATATGCAAGGTTCTGACCAGAATTAATGAAATATTGTTTTGAGGCACCTCACTTTGCTAGATTTGGTCTGTCCCTGCCAATTGAAATCTGTAATTTTACATGTTGCTGATCAGGTTGCCTGTGAACTGGTACTTACGGAATCCCAGCATGTGGCTGATTCAGTGTTTGGTCCAGCAAGGATAAATAAGAAACATTTCTGTTTAGTAGCATCAGCATAATATTTTTGTTTTAAATAGAGGCTTGAAGAAACCTGTAATGACAAGTTACTTAATTGAAAATTTTCACTGCATTTTCAGAGCAGACCATTCCTTGGTCGTGTGTTGAATCTTCCTGCTTATATTTCAGAATATCGGAACAGAACCTCATGCCACCTGTAACGAGGTCTGTGTCAGTGCCAGACACTAGCTCGATTTGGGAGCTTCAGTCAGCAGCCTCACAGCCTGCAGGTATGACCTGTTTCTAGAGTAATACAGTTTCCTGAACAAACTCTCTTGGTTCAGAATCAGACCTTTCTTCTTACAGCCTGTTTTGATGCTTGTCCAAATAACTTCTGGGTTCATTCATCTGAGCTTCTGTTTGACATGAAAAATGAATTCAGCTCCCCTTGAACTCAAGAATAAATTCTGTTCTGTGAGGGAGGGGAGAGTGCTGAGACGAGCAAGATGGCAATGCTTTGCGTTGTCGTAGGAAATGTTCAGCCGAATATCGAGTTTGCTCTGTTTGTATTACATGACCAGTGGGCTTCTGGTCTCATGGAGCGATTGGGTATTGAACAGCTGGGTCTTGTCCAAGTTTGAGGGGGAAAACCCATCTTGGCACTCTCCCCTGAGAGCTTTCAGGGGAATCAGGCTGTACTTTCTTTAGGAAGATAAAGGTGGTCCCGTGCTGAAGAGGATCATGTGAAAGGAGTGTGCATCTATGATTTCTAGTTCTTGTCATCTCGTAATGGATCACACAGGACTTCCCTGCTTTCAGTCTGTCTGCTTGCTGTTGCTTGCGGATAATGATTCTTCTACTGCCTATATAACATTATTTTTCTTGCCTCTCCAGTCTGGGAAGGAAGTAGCGTCTGGGACCTACCCATTGACACTGCAGCTCAGGGACCAGCTCTAGAACAACTTCAGCAGCTTGAGAAGGCCAAAGCTGCAAAGGTCAGAAATTGTCATGTACCTGCAAAAAATTAATTATGGATTAGCAAAATGCAACTGTGATACTCTGTTAATGGTTTTACACTGGTGAGTGAAACCTGTCTTAACTCTCTCCTGGGGTTTTAAAATGGGGCTTTGCCCTTTGGATCAAACACATGCACATTCAAGCCAGTTTTGTTTTTACTGTTAGAAGTTACGTAAGAGCAGAACTTTTGCTGCTGCTACTGCTGCACTTACCCTCCTCTTATATCCCAAAACTTGTTTTAGGGAACAGAAAGAATTTAGTTTCGGCTGTTTGCAGCTACTTTAGTACCAGGTTCTCCTTTAGAGTCATAAGACAAAATAGTAGAAGAAATTCTGCTTCCATGAGGACATCATGGCAGCTGCCTCTGGCTGCTTTAAGTCTAAATAGTTTAAGAAAGTGGTACAGGAAAACTGATTTGGAGAACTAAACACTGTTTTCACACCAGTAAATTTACTCTTAGAGTTGCCTATGGGCAACTCAAGAGCGCTATAGTTGCAGGTTGAACCCCACTGGCAAATTAGTGGCTGAGATGCTGTCTTCTAATTTCTGAAATTTTTCGTTAAAACATAGTATAGGAAGTACTTTACCTATTCTAATCTTGTATCTAAGTGTAGTTTTTATATAAACTGTAGCTAGAGCAGGAGAGGAGAGAAGTGGAGATAAGAGCCAAACGAGAAGAGGAAGAGAGGAAAAGGCAGGAGGAACTTCGGAGACAACAAGAAGAGCTACTTAGGAGACAGCAGGAGGAAGAAAGGAAACGACGAGAAGAGGAGGAACTGGCTCGTAGAAAGCAGGTGAATCTTCTCAGTGTGGTGTACTTCTGTGGATTCTATTTTAGTACTGCAGTTTTATAGGAAAACCCTGTAGAAAAACATGTGAGGTCTGATGTATTGCTGGTAAGTGTGTATGAAGACAGTTTTATTAGTAGTATTTCTTTCATGGTTACTCTGACATTTCTTTTTCAGTTCTTGCCCTTTCAAAGACTTGCCAGAGATTTCAGAACTGGCTTTGTATGTCTGACAGTTTCAATTCAAATCAGATTTTATTTTTGGCCTTATTTATTTGTCAAGTAGCATTTAAAAAATAATTTTCCAAAAGGACTCCCCAGAAGTGAGATTACATTCACTGCCCACTTAGTTAAATATTTGTTGGCCTTGTAGTTAAAGCCCCACACTGTGAGGATTCTAAATCTAGGTATCTCACCACTGTTAGCAGACTTGGTTTTTGGAGTATTGATTTCCCAGTTAGGTTACAAAGTGCAGTACTTTAAAGAGGACCAAGATTTAGGAAAGTAAATTTGAAGCCCAGCTGCACTTTTCCTCATCTTCAATTTTAATTCAGTTAAAAATTTATCCAATACTTACAGAATTTCTGGTTTGTCAGAATCTAGGTACTGCTTGCTATAGTTTACATGACCTCAGTCATAGTGGACATAATTGCTGACTCCTCTGGGTTTCTGATGGTGAAAAGTTTCTTTTGGAAAAATGGAAGAGTTTGCCTGGGTAGCATTGTTCTTATGGGTTAGAAATAGGACAGTCCGTTTCTTGTTCTGAGAGAGACTTGTGTTATGTTAAGAGTCACTCAACCATTCTGTGCCTTGCTTTTCTACCTGCCCATGTGGGGGTGTTTTCCTATTTCACCTGGAGGCTTTTAAAATGTAAAACAGCTTGTGTTATTACTTAAGCAAAATTATCATACTGGCCTGGAGGAGAGGAAGCCTCCCCACTTCTCCCCTCTCCCCCACTTTTGACAATGTCCTAATTTTTTTAAAGTGTAAAAGAGAACAAAGCTTCATTTTTAAAGTTAAATTCTACTTTAAATAGAAAGACATTAGAAAGTACAGTAGTCCAAGATAAGGGACATTCAAACAAGCTTTTCTTTTCTACCATATGAGCTGTAGCCTTCCATCTTCTACCATTCATTTGTTTGTACCTTTCTTGTGTGCATCTTTTTTAGTCTTCTGAGTTAGATTCAGTAATTTTGCATTTTTGAAAAGACTTAAATGTCCATAGTGTATGGTTATGGACATTGGATGCTTGTGAAGTCCATTGTACTTAGAGTAAATCTGGGTTACAGATATTGAGATTCTTCCATGTCTTTCTAGTACTAAGTGGACTACTTCACTGTGTTTTTGCTCTTGCCATAGTAGTTTCAATTTGTTTCTAGTATCCAAGTGTACCTTGCCATGTGTCTTCTCAAATGTTGCTTCTCAAATTTGCAGTTCTACCTTTTTGAGAAAAATGGGGAATAATCTTTTTTTGAATTGGGAAATGGCATTTTTGTTTTGTTTACAGGTTTTTATTTTTTTTAAATAAGTGCATTTTATTTCTTTTTTTCCCTTGTGAATCATTGGACCAGTTCTTATTTTTCTCAGGCCTTTTCTCCCAGATTTCAACATTTCAGTGAGGTTGTGGTAGAAAAGTACCTGTAGCAGTCATGATTTAGAATGTATTCAGAGTGATGGCCACCTGAATTTCACATTAAGCTCCTCTGCCTTTTGTATTATTTAGTAAAATCCACATTACCCACCAGTCAAGAAGTCAGATAATTTTAACAGTGCTTTAGAATACTCCAGATCAAGTCTGACCCCTTTAACTTTTTCAGAGCATCATGTCTGCTGCTTGAGTGCGGTAGTTCAAAATCAGAGACATGATTGAGAAGTGATTAGTGAATCCTGCTATTCTCTGGAAGGCTTGTTCTTAGTCAAGAAATCTTGTTCTTTTTGTGGGATGGTTTCTAATACATTTTCTGAAGAATTTGTTTAAATGGTATTTCTTACCAACAAAAGTCTGGTCATAGAATCATAGAAAATTAGGACTGGGAAGAATCTCAGGAGGTCATCGAGTCTTACCCCCTGCTCAAACCAAGACAGACCATCCTCAATTTTATGAACTGTATCATGGTCTTTGTGTCAGAGGGCAGATACATGAAAGTAAAGATTCTTGCCCTTTTAAATATATCGTCCTGCATCTGATGCCAGGTCTGAAAAGAACTTCAGGTAGTTGTTGGAACACTTAAGATGGTGAGAGACAAAACTGATGGCTATGCCTCCCTAAGTGGCAGGAACCAAAAAAAAGGCGCAGAATCTTTGCAGGAGGAGGAGGCTGCAAGAAATTCTTAAGGAAAAAAATGCTGCTCTACTTCTCTTCTTTCCCGAAACTCAGGATCTGGTTTACAGATAGGAACAAATGGGAGACTTGCATTAAAAACTCCATTATTACTTTGTTTTGACCCATCTGGATTTTTGGCTGAAAGCAGGTCTAAGTTTGTAGATTCCTAGAGATAGCAAAAGGAAGCTATGCTGTGTCTTATTTTAGTTGGGCATGAAGTCAAGGAGCCTCCTTATGACTGTGGCATTTATATTCCTCTGAGACTGGAACATTTTTTTCTATTTCTCTAGGATATGAAGTAAAAGGGGTTATGACTCAAGCTAGGTTTACACAATCTAGTTAGCTCTGTAACTCCATTTTAATTAAGTTTTATATTTATTTCCATAGTTCTTAATAGTTTTAATGTCTCATCTTGATGTACATGGAACCATTACAGTTTGTACTGGAAAATATATATTTATAGCATAGCTGGGTACTAAATTTGTGCATGGAATCATTGCAGCACTCACACAAAATAGGGCTTTTCAAAGTAACAAACTTGGAAGAATTGTTTTATATCCAGCTTTTTGTAACATGTTTTCAACACCGCCCTCTTTGTAATTCAGTGCATCCCATTCATTCTTTTTTCTGAGAGATCTTAGATTGGGTTGGTTTTGGATATTTAATGGTAAATATTTAGAAAAAAGTCATCTTTCATTGTGCTCTTGGATACAGCCCACTTTTTTGTACAGATTCAGTCACCTCGGGCAGAAGACTGCCTTAGTGGAATTTCATAGACTAACTATTTTTATGGGAAGTTGGTTTTAATGGAAACTGTCTTACATCACTAACTGTGGAGTTGTTACTCCACACTAATTCTTACAAGTGACAGTCAAAATGAAAACAAGTAACAAAGCTCTTAAATCCTTCATTGGAAAGAAATTAATATTACAACCTTACTTTTAAAGAACCAGGCTGATATTGAAAGCTGATTTCTATAGTGGAAAAAATTCTAGAACCAGGTTACAAACTAATCAAAGATTCTTATCAGAGATTTTATAGAAAGGAAATAATGCTTAACAAATTTGATTAACTTCTTTTGAGGAGGTGACAATGAGAGCTGAGAGGGGTGAAGCAGTAGACTTAATCTGCCTGGACTTCAGGAAGGCTTTTGATACAATACTTCATAAAAGACTAGTATATAAGGTTAGTAAAAATACTGTTGATGGTGAATTCTAAATTCAGTTTTTAAAGAGTTTTTGTAAGAAATTAACAATAGTAAAGGTGATGTAGAAGGAAATTACATGGCAAACCATGTTGAATCCAGTCTTGTTTATACTATCTTGTACATCAGTAACCTGTATTTTTTTTTTTCCTGCTGAGGGTTGGGGTGTGAATCTTATTCTGTAATGTTGGGTCACCTTTTAGGAATGAAATCAACTGTTAACCAATATTTTGTCTTTCAAGAATTAAAACTAAAATTGTCCCCTATAAAGTCTCTGCTCCAAGGGATGAAATCACAAGGAGACAGAAAAATCTCCTGGCCTTGCCAGCACCATTTGGAAGCAGTCTTCAGAGCTGCAAAGGTGGTAGATTTCATTTGCAGTAAACTCTTTAAAAAAAAAAAAAAAAAAAACCACCCACCTGGAATCTACTAAGTCAATAGCAATGACTGACCTTTGTAAGCTTTTCAAGTTTCTTTTGCTAGTGCACCATCCAGTCTCATTTTAAATGCCTGACCTAAGACATGTGTCACAGAATATGTAGGTTTTCAAAATGCGTAAAACTGGGAAGAGGTAATTGGAGGATGGTAACAGGACCCCTGTGGAGAAGAATAGGATTGATAACATTTATACTAGCATAGGAGCAGGACAAATTCAGAGGAACTATTGTCTCCTTTCACCTAAGCATTGGTAAGAATAAAGCTCAGAGTATTGTAAATATTTATGGGCGTGATATTCCCAGGAAAATATTTAGTAATAAAAATATGTAGAAGTTGATAAAGCATCCCTGAGTACATGGTTGGGAAGGTGTAGCTCGTTTTCATTACCAGCTGCACCTACTTTCCATGAACAAAAATTAAACTTTTAAACATGTAAGTCTAAGTGTGACGAGTACTGCCACTGGAATAGAAGAGGGTTTGATTTAAATGACATTTTCATGCTTCTCTGTTCCTTATTTTACCTATAAAGGACTAAAAAAGGTGATATCAGCTATATATCAATAGATTCCTTTTCAGGTTTTCTTCGTGTGTGCAATATGGCAGTGGACAAGCATGAAACACCTCCATCAGTCATTTAGTGATACTGTATATACTCTCATTAAATTGTCTTCTGTGCTAAATAGTGTTCTTATTGGTGATAAATGTGAAAATATATCCTCTTGTAAGAACGCTTTAAATTTAATTTGATTTCTGTGCCTTAAGTATTACAGACAGATCGTCCTACAGTTAGGAAGATTACAAGATGTACAAGTTGATGGATCTTTTTTTTTTTTATTTGCTTGGTGATTTCTGACTTTAGGAGCAACAATAATACCTTTTTTAGGGAGAAAAATGAATGTGTTTGCTTTAAGTTGAGGGTTTCTATTAAAAGATGTTTACAGATCTTACAGATGTTTAAAAATAATATTGCTACAATATTTACTATGTGATTTTTAAAATGAAAAACCTTCAGTGGAAAGAGATGAATGTTAAAGGAAGTGGAAAGAGTACCCAGGTATATTGTTATATACCAAGACTACTGTTTTTACACAAACGCAGTAAATGAGAGGAAGAAGTGAAAGAAGTCTCATTTGTTTCCTGTATCCAGAGGGCAACAAGGAGTGGCTTAGTGGCAGTAAGTGTGTCACAGGTGGTCTTGGTAGCCTTTGTGTGGCACACAGCAGATTGGGGAGAGGAAGAGCACCCCAGTGGCAGATAGGGAAGGAAGCAGAGCAGCAGATTGGGCAGGAAAGGGAGATTGGAATGTCACTTGGAGGATGCAGGGCTAATTAGTGGTGTGCCTGCAAGAGAGGTGGTGCCCCGCTGTTTTAGAGGATGAAGAATTAAACATTGTTCAGATGTCTGTGTGTTTGCCCTTAATTTTTAAGATGATGTTTCCATTGATGTTTATGGGCATGTGAAATGCATCTATCACTGTTGGAGCCTGTATTGAGGTACATGTGTAGATTTGGAATCCATTGCATGAAGGAGGTGGATGCTAAAATAAACTGGGAAAAGCATAGGTGCTTACTGACAACAGTTGCAAGGACTCAGGGTATAAAATGCTGTTGATCTTTAAAAAAAAAGAAAAAGGAAGTCCTCTGATTTACATAGGACCTATGGATGACAGATGATTTGCTCGATTAGAAGAGTTCACAATCTAGACAACATAAATATGGGGTTTCAGTTACAGTTCCTGATGAACAGGGATCCTGGTTTTCTCTGATGAAAGAAATGCCCAATTTTTGGATTAAAAAAAGTAACCTGAAATCCTCATTTCTGTGTGATTAAAATGAAACACCACTGTAGATAGATATCTATATATTTATAAAAATGAAACACCACTAGTATCTATATCTATCTATTAGTGGTGTTTCATTTTAATCATGGAAAAATATGGATTTGGGGTTATTTTTTTTATTCTGAAAATTGGGGGGTTTTTTCTTGAGAGAAACCAGGATCCCTGCTAATAAAATTCAGAGCTCTCATAAATTAGCCCAACATGATGGATTAGTGGCTCACAAGTTGCTGTTTGACTGGCCTTTATGTACAACATTGATATACACATTTTTTCTTTTGATCTCTTCCTTTCCAATTTTTGTGCTTTTATTACAAGGTCTTGTGCAGTCAATATTCTGTTTTTGCAATCATTACAAATATCATTTTCCTAAAATCAGTTTCCCAGTTACTAGAAATACCTGTTGTAGATAACAAAACCCGAAACTCTTAACTTGAAAAAAATATTTTATCTGAAGACCAGTCACCATGTATGTGCTTAAGTGTAGGTCAGGAAAACAGTGTTGACAAATAAATATAAAGTAATAGTCAAAGTGATAAATAGAAAGTCTTAAAGGAATTAATTAGGTCTTGATGCCATTTTTCCAAAAATGAGCTATTCTGTTGTGTTGGCTAACACTTTTTTTTTAGATGCAAATGCTGTACTTTTTTAAAACCCTGAACTTAATTATTTGAGGCAAGAACATGTAGACAATTCTGATGAATCAGACATGATGATGATGATGGGCAGTCACTCGCAAATGAGTAAGATTTCTTCCAGGGATCTTAGTAGCGAGTCCGCAGGTTGTCTCCATAGCCCAATTCCAGATCCACTTTTCTTTTCGCAGTGAGGACAGGCGTTTCCAGGACAGATGGGTACTGTGTTGCTGCGTTGGATGTTCTGATATTCTTTTTGCCTGTTCCTCTTTTACTTTTCTGCATGTCGATGAGCTGTTTCAAAGTGCTGAGGTGCTTCCCAAAGAGCCTTCCTCCATTTTGGTCAGTCCTGAGCAGGGGTCTCCCAAGTGTTGATGTGGATGTTACACCTCTTCATGTTTGCCTTCAGGGTGTCTTTGAAGTGCTTTCTTTGCCCTCTGCTGCTTTGCTGATTTTCTTTCAGCGGAGAGAGAGAGATTCTCTTTGGAAGGCAGGAGTCAGGCATGCAAACAAAATGGCCTCTCCAGCAAAGTTGGTTTTGGACGGTAATAGCCTCAGTGCTGTTGAAATTTGCTTCAGCCAAGACACTAATGTTTGTGCATCTATCCTCCCAGCTAATCCAAAGGATCTTGCAAAGGCACTTTTGGTGGTACTTTTCCAAGCTCTTGAGATGTCTTCTGTATGTGGTCCAAGTTTCTGAGCCATACAGCAGAGTTGGAATGACAATGGCTTGATAAACCAAGAGCTTCATTTCAACAAGGATGTCATGTTTTAACAAGACTCTCTTACTCAGATGTCCAAAGGCTGTGCTTGCACATTTCAAGCGGTGTTGTATTTCTGCGTTGATATTTGCCTTTGATAAAAGATGGCTTCCAAGGTAGGCAAAATGATCCATGTTCTCCAGCAATTCTCCATTGATTTGAATGGAGGGGGGGTGTTGTTTCTCCATTTGGAGCAGGTTGGTAAAGGACTTGCATTTTCCTGATGTTTAGAGTTAGGCTGATACTCTTGTAGACTTCCAAGACTACATTAAGAATGGATTGGAGGTCCATTTCAGATTGAGCAATGACAGCATTGTCACCTGCATACTGGAGTTCCATTATGGATGTGGCCGTGGTCTTCATTTTGGACTTGAGTCTGTTGAGGTTGAAGAGTCTTGTGTCCATCCTATATGCAATTTCAATTCCAGGTGGGAGCTTTCTGTCAATGAGGTGCATTATGGTGGAGATGAAGATGGAAAACAAAGTTGGAGCAATGACACAACCTTGCTTCACTCCCATTTTTTCACCTCAAATGGTTCTGTTTGATTCCTGTTGCTGAGAACCCTTGCCAACGTTATCATGGAGAAGTCTCAGAACACTAATGAACTTGTTTAGGTGGCCAGTTTTGGACCAGATTTTCCACAGGGCAGTTTACAGAATCGAAGGCTTTAGAAAGGTCGATGAAGACCAAATAGAGAGGTCAGTTGCTTGCAACACTTCTCCTGGATTTGACATGCTGTAAAGATCATGTCCACAGTTCCTCAAAATGGTCTGAAGCTGCTTTGATATTCTGGAAGAATTTCTTCTTCAAGTAGGAGAAGGTGGTTAGCGAGGATATGGGATGACTTCCATAGTTTCATAGTTTCTAGGGTCGGAAGGGACCTGAGAAGATCATCTAGTCCGACCCCCTGCCATGGCAGGAAAGAGTACTGGGGTCAAACGACCCCAGCAAGGTGTTCATCTAACCTCTTCTTAAAAACCCCCAGGGTAGGAGCCTGCACCACCTCCCTTGGAAGTTGGTTCCAGACCCTAGCCGCCCTG